TCTAATTTTATCTGTCACAGGAGCTACACCAACCCTATCACGGATATAATCATTTCACATTTTGTCTCTAAGTGTAAAGCCACTCATCCACCTAATCATTCTCATCTCAGCAACACTTAACTTAGTATTATGCTTCTCTTTTAAGGCCAACATTTAGCGCCTTAGAACATTGCAAGTCTCACCACCGACTTGTAAAATTTTCCTTTCAATCTAAACAGTATTTTTCTATCACACAAAAGGCCTGAAGCATTACTCCACTTCAACCAACCAACTTGAATCTATTATTAACATCCCCATCTATATCACCATCGATTTAAACAACAAACCCGAGATATCTAAATCGTTCACACATTTTAATAATTTGATCACCCAAAGTTACACTTCTGTCACTAGAGCTACTACTACTAAAATTACATTCCATTTATTCAGTTTTAGTTCTAGTCAAATGAAGGCCTTTAGACTCCAATGTAGACCTCCATAATTCAAGTTTTTCTTGGGCTTTTTCTCTCGTCTTATCCAGGAGAAGGATATCATCAGCAAGAAGCATACACCAAGGTACATCCTCCTGTAAATGTCCAATAAGATCATCCATAACTAAAGCAAAAAGATATAGGCTTAAAGTCGATCCCTGATGTAATCCAATAGAAATAGGAAAATATTTCGTCAATCCTCCTACAGTTCGAACACAAGTAACAGCTCTAGTATACATATCTTTAATGACTTGAATATAAGTCATATCAACACATTTCTTTTCAAGAACTCTCCAAAGGATATCTCTTGAAATCTTATCGTAAGCTTTTTTTAAATCAATAAAAATCAAATGTAGATTCTCTTTATTATCTTTAAACTTCTCCATCAAACCTCTCAATAAATGTATAGCTTCCATAGTAGACCTGCCCGACATAAATCCAAATTGATTATAAGAAATCTTTGTAATACGTCTTAACCTTTGTTCAATTACCCTCTCCAATAATTTTAAAGTATGACACATCAACTTAATTCCTCTATAATTTGCACACTCTTGTGCATCCCCTTTATTCTTAAAAATAGAGACCAAAATACTCTTCATCCACTCTTCAGGCATCTTTTTAGTTTTTTAAAATAATATTAAAGAGTTTAGTAAGCCAAGAAACTCGCAAATCTCCTAAATATTTTCATACTTCAATTGGGATATCATCAAGTCCTACAGACTTTCCACCATTGGTTTTCTTTAAAGTCTCCTTAAACTTCTTTTTTACTAATGTGACGGTAAAAATGAAACTTGTTCATCTAAACTCCCACAAAAACCCTAAGTAGCAAAAAAACTACAAACCAAACTTTTCCACTACACAAACGACTACATCAAGTTCAATCTTTGCATTCTTCATGTAATTGTATTACGTAGCCAATTCTATAACACCAACCTTGATCTTCGCCTATAAATAGGGACGTATTGGTCGAGTGCACGAACATGAATATTGAAATCTCACAGAATTTATCTATGTTTCTTCTCAAAATCTCTCTCTCTCAATGAATTGCTTCGTTGTAACTTACTTCTAATCACCCTTCTTTGTCCAAAGGAGGAGATCAGTTCACAAAGAGAATCATTAACTTCTAGCTTCCCTCTCCACTTCCTTTTTCTCCTTTGTCCTTGATCCATTCTTTCAATAAAATCTCAATACCCTTCTATAAATAACATTACTCAATCCATCAACCTATTTAAAATACTATATCTAACATCCACACAAAAAATTCATACATTACTCGATCCAACTTAAGCACAAAGAAAATACCTAAATCTCTCTATCCAAAAAAATAAATAAACCTCCTAATATCAACATGAAAGAAAATAATTAAGATCCAAACTAAATGTTCTTCAAAAATGACACCAAACAACTATTCATCAGCTTTTGCATAAGGGCACTTGACTGTTCTGGGAGAAGATTTACATATACATACCACTCAATTCCTATGTATTTACATATCTAACAATTAAAATTTAACTTTTACATACACACATCCTTATTATCTATGCATGAAAAGGTCTATTTCACTTAATAAAAGTTAAAATAGTGGTACTTTTTATGTGATATGAAAGCTTTGGGTTGTATAGATGTAAAAAAGTAAACTTTAGGTGTTTATAAATGTAAATGCATGAGAATTAGGAATTATGTATGCAAACAATCCATAATTTTTGGAACAAAATTGTCAACTACTTGGATAATTCTTATAACTTCACACTCTTTTAAAATCAGATAATATCTTCTACCACCACCACTTCATTCAACTCTTCAAACCAACAGCAGAATCAGGAATTCAAAATTAATGAAGGCAAAACGCTCACGCCTTCATGGTTATTGCAAGTTACATCACGAACTATGAAAACCATTCTTGATTCCACCACTGCTTTAAAAAGGGAGATATGTAAATACATAAGAATTGAGTGATATGCACGTAAATCTTCCATTTAAAATCCATAATAACCTCATAGATATCCTGAGAGCTGCATACTTATCTTATTACTTACAGATTTTGATGTTCGAAGGCGGGAAAATTGGGCTAGATGATGAATTTTCTGCAGACTATCAATATCAGCTTTGTTGCAACCTTTCATCTTCTTCTTCGAGGTCACTTGCGACCGCCGTAGGTCAAACGAGCCTTAAGAAAGAAGCTTCTTGACCGCATAGGGTTCAGGCTAGCCGTCGGCCGCCGGCAAACAAAGCCGAGTCACCATGGATGAGCTTCGGCCGTCACCACCAACATCGAATCTTTATTTGGCCGGACATAATTGACATTTAAGTTATTAGAAATCCCTAAATTCCCTTAAATTGGGATTTACTAAACCTTAAATAGTTTAAGGGTCTCTCTCGGAGAAAATTTTGCGTCCGAACTCCAGTCCGGACTCCAGACTCAATATTTTTTCATAATGCAGATAAACCGCAATTCAACATAGCTATTTGACAAATAAGTAAATCGAACTCAATACTCTTCCTTCAAATCCCGTAAATTTTGTAAATCCACAACTTCGTGTGATGAGTCCGTTTGGGGCAGCTTGTTTGGTGCGGTAATATTTTGAAAACGCAATTGGCCTATTTGGGTAAACTGCGTTTTGACAGCTTATGCGTTTTCAAAACGCTGAAAACAACATTTTCAAAACGCTGAAAACAGCATTTTCACATCGCACCAATTTAGGTGCGTTGACAGCTTTCTGGAAGCAATTTGTTTTTTCCAAAAAAATAAAAATTTGTAATAGTCACCGCACCTAGCTTACACCGCACCTAGCTTATCAACAGCTTATCAACAAATTATTCAATAAACTACAACTGCCCCAAACAGATCCTTAGTAAATCCGGAATTTATGACCAAAATTCATGAAATCTGGATTTATAAAATTCACAGCTGTATCTTGTCCAAAATGACTGTCTGGCGAGATTTAGCCCACATCCAAATTAAATCTTACTCTAAATTTGTTTTGAGAGGGCCACTTAAGGTATAAACATTTGTGATGTATTTTTATTTTTTATTTTTTATTCATGGCATTTTACATAGATACCCCTCAATTCTTGTGTATTTATATATCTAACCCCTAACATTACTTTTTTACATTGACAACACCCAATCCTTTCATTTTTTTAGAAAGTGAAATATATCTTTTTTGTGCATTAGATAAAGGGGCATGTATTTAAACAATGAAATTTAGATATTAGATTTTATATATATATATATATATATATATAGTAAAATTTGAAAAAGATGTAAATGTTTTATAAAATTGTTATTGCTTTTTATTTAGAAATTACCAAAATCAGTCCATCCCTCTGGTTCATGTGTTTTAATACATTTGAAACATATCATAATAAAAATAAATAAATATTTTTTACTTCACATCTAAGCAAATAATTATTATATTTTTGAAATAAAAAATATTTCATTTATATGCATGCATACTAATGACTAGGGGTGTAAATGAAGCATTGCATTTGATGTACAACTTTGACTCGGTTTCATTAAGATTTTGATCATATTTGTTTAAATTATGTTTACAAATAAATTCGTTTGTTGTTTAACATTGATTTGAAGCTAGATGATAGCTCTTATGTAGGGCTGGTGAAACGGCTCGTTCGCAAATAGCTCGTGTTCGACTCGTTAAGAAGCTCGTGTTCGGCTCGTTAATTTCGTTTGATAAGTTAACGAGCCGAACACGAACAAAGATGTTTTTGTTCGTGTGCGGCTCATTTTGGCTCGAAATACTACTCCTTATATATATATATATATAGTATTTTAAAAAAATCTAATTGACTACAAGGCTATAAAGATTTATAATCAATTAAAATATTGATTAAGAAAATAGAATAAAAATTCTTAAATTAGATTCAAATGATGTTTTAATATAAATAATAATTTTTAAATCTTGCTCAAACCATTATCGTTTTATGACTACGTTATTAGGGTTGTTAAAAGAACTCTTTGTTCGTGAACAGCAGCTCGTGTTCGACTCGTTAACCAAGCGAGCCGAACACGAACACACCTTTTGAGCTCGAAATATAAACGAGTCAAACACGAGCTGAGCATGGCTCGCTCTTGTTTGGCTGGTTTACACCCCTACTCTTATCATATATGATATATTATTTAAATAAAAATTGATTAATTTGACTTTATTTAATTATATAATTAATATTAAAATATTATTATATTAAGTGATAAACAATTTTGCATTATGAGTATTTGATGTTACAAATTCATTCAATTTTTTGTTCTTTCATTTATATGATTTATCAGAATATTATATATATATATATATATATTAGATATATATATATATATATATATTAGATAGCATGATATGATATGAGTTAGTTCATTTTCTTATCTCATTTATTAAGATGATATTTGAGATTAATTTTTATTTATTATTTTTATTTTAAAAAATAAAAAATAGAAAATAATTAGAAAAATAGTATTTGTTTAAATGTTTTTTATTTTCTATTTTTAATAATAACACGCCAAATTTAAAAATATATGAAACAGAAAAAAAAAATATTCTTCTTGTTTTTAAAACACAACTATTCCTTCTCGCGATAGATAGCAATATTATATACGGACGTAATTTATGTTGGAGTCTAATTATGGGATGTCATGTGTCAAATGAGTCTACTGTGTTAAGATTTATGAGACTCGCCATTAAACTTTGAATGCACCACTGATATTATTTTTGAAGTTGTAGCGCTCTTGAGGGAAGATGGCGAGAAAGAAGCCTCGACGAAAAGCTCGTTCGTTCCTGCACACATATAAATGTTTAGGGCACTTGTGAATAGAATTTCTTAGTCTACGCATATAAATGGAATAACCAAAAACTATCATGGTTTTATGTATTGCTCTCAAAATTTTTACGTAATATCAATATATTGTTATTATTTATTTTTTAAAAGTGAAATACATTTTTTAAATTATGTATAATTTATGAAACCAAAATATTTTTTTTAATATAGTTATCAAAGTTTAAATATTAGATATAAAAATTCATTGTTAGCTATAACTTATATACCAGATAAGGGACAGATGTTGAAACGGAACGGAGCAGGCCAGCGGAGCGGAAGCATCTGTTCAATCGGGGGAGTTTTGTTATGTGGGTTGGGGGTGCGGGGGCAACACTCCCGCAGTATGATAAAAAGGTAATTTTGTAATTACATATTGTACTTCAGTGTTATATATATATATATATATATATATATATATGCTTGTATGTAACCCTATGTATTGTATTATGTACTCTTTTTCTGAGTTGAAGGAAAGCCGTCACTCTGCTCCCGAAGAAGTAGACATCTTTGTTGAACCTCGTTAAATCTCTGTGTTCTTCTGAATCTGTGTCGATTCTTATTTTCTTTGCCCTAAAATTCTCAACATACATACTAATTATTTTATTTTGGGTCAAAATATCATTTATCTTATTATCAGACATATAAAACATTATTTTAGTGTGAAATTTTAATGATTTTATCATTTATTAAAAGGCAACATCCTTGAATGTGCGGACTTTGATATTTTTTCAGTAACATTATTGCAGTTTCTATATATACGAGTTTAATATATTTACATAGTAAGAACTGGCAATTTTTTAGAAAGATTAGAGGTTTTTTTAAAATAAAATAAATAGAAAATGATGGAATCAAATGTCTTTTAGATTTTTTATTTCTAAAAACATATAAATGATAGCAGTATCAAATGTGTTCTCTAGAAACAAAAAATAGAAAAAAGAATATATAAAATAAAAAAAAATAAAAAATAAAAAATAAAAAGTGATCCAAAACAAGGCCTAAATTATTCATTTATTTATACGTATAAAATTATTTATTGAAATTTTAATATAAAAATTTAGATATTTGTTTGTCTTTTTAGCTCGTTTAAATACTCGTTCACTTCTCATAAACAAATCAACTAAAAATCAATTTTTAAATAAGTCAACCTTAAACATGTGATTTCTAGATTAAGAGCGAGTACTCGAGATAAAAATTGTATTAACCTTAATTTTACAACTATACTAGAAAAAGAAAGGGGCCATTCACATACAACCCACAATTTTTTATGTATTTAAATATCTAACATATAAATTTTAATATTTAATTTAATATCACATTAAAAATATCACCATCACTTTATTTTATAAAAGTAAAATATTCATTTTCATGCATAAATTTATCATACATAAGTTATAAATGTAAATATGAAAGTTTAGGTATTAGTTATGAAAATACATAAGAATTTACACTATTGAATTCTACGTCAAATTTCAAGCACACGAGAAAAAAACATTATCTAAAAAAAGAGGCAATTACATACAAAATATCGGAGGCATTGTTATTTACAAATCAAGCACTCTTTCATCCATTTTGCAAATTCTCCCTCAAATATCAAAATTCATTGATCGTGGCACGCATAAATATATCGGTTTGGTAGTTCAAAATAATCATCTAAGTGCTTTGTAAATATCAATGTTTTGGATGGTCTGTATGTAATTATTCCTTAAAAAATATAAAAAATTCAAATAAGTGGACTAATATGGCTCCTGCTAAAAACATTAAGAATGAGTATATATGTTCATAAACATGTGCCGCCTACCAAGACTCATTGGTTAACAGAGTTTGTAAGACCTCTACGGGTCACGGGTTCAATCTCGTCTATGTGCGGGATGAAATTCTTAAGCACATGAGGTTGGTTGGGCACTCCTATAATAGCCTCTGACCAATCCTTAAAAAAAAAAAGAAAAATAACAATAGATATACATGAAAAACATATATTTCACTTTCAAAAAGATAGTGACAGTGATATTTTTGATGTGATGGTGGTATCTTTGATGTGAAGTTAAAATGTTGAGCGGTATGCATGTAAATTTCAATATTTAAGACTTAGATATATGTAAATAAGTTATAATTGCATGGTATGGCCCCAACATCATACTCACAATTACTTTAATAGAAGAAATATGCATTTTCCAAATAACTTTACAACCATCTTTACAAAAAGTTAAAACCTCCCGACAGAAACAGAGTACACTAACAATAACTACGACGGGCGTTCCGCCGTACAAATTTAACTAGTTATCACCCAAATTCCTCGTGCACAATTCATAACATCTCAAAGAAACCAAAAACTATGAGCCAATCATGAGTGAATATTTTCTTCAGTAAATGATAGGAGAAGATATCATAATGACAATAAGGCCCCCCAACTAATTATTATTAGTATATAAGAATAGAAGAGCCTTGTCTCAGTTACAACTATCGCAAGGAATGATGAAAGGGAAACTTCTCTAAAGCTAAGTAGTTCCTCAACAAAAGAAGAAGAAGAAAAAGAAAAAACTGGCAATACAACAATGTTACCTCTTACATGAAAACCCGGGAGAAAGTTGAAGGTGTCAGCCATGGCAGATTCTCAGAGCTTGCAGAGAACCTGATTCTTTTGAAGCTTTTTTGGTGGAAGCAGAATGAAGGGACAGGAAGAATGGTCTCATCTATTAACAAATCTGCCCCACTTTGGCTCGCTGGGAAGGGAGAGATCATAATTCTCCTGGAAATATTCACAGTGATGTGAAGCTTATATTCACAATAGATTAGTTTTATGGCTTCATCTTTTTAAGCTTCTGTGGAATAAAGCGAACGCGCTGCTTTCCGAGCTCTAAAGTCATGGATTTTCCATCATCAAAATGAACTGATAAGGAGGAAGTGCCTTCAATGAGATTTGAAATTACTCCCCTCTTCCTGAATACAACAACGACAATAATAATAATAATAATAAATGGAGCTCAAAATCATTATAACATTCATCTAAAAAGGGGTATCAAACAAGTTTCAAAACTAGAAATGCCAAAAAGAAAGACAGACAATCAAGTTCGGATTTTTGGGAGGATTGAAGTTTGTTAGCATTTTTTGTAAAAAGGCTCGTGATTTTTATCATTCAAAGAATTTTTGTTATATAAAAATAGTGTATTTCCACCTAAACAATCTCAACTTTCTTCTTGAAATTACTAAGAAAATGTAATGAAATTCGCATTTGTTGCATACGAGTAAAAATAAAATGATCGTGGCAAACACCATCGATGCTAATCTTTTCAATGCAAGCAGTTTCACAGTTTTGGAAAATTTGGAGAAGTGGGAGTCGTAAGAGTGAGAGTTGCATGGTTGAGCAAAAATAAAATATAAATTATGGGCATCTTTGTGATCGATCTTGTTTTTTGTCTTTTGTTTTTATTTTTTCCTTTGTTTCTAAGAATATGTTTGTGTAACGTGTCTTATACATATTTTTATATTTTGCTTTCGGAAAGAAATTAACATATTTATAAAAACACTCCAAACAAATTCTAAAAATTTTGAACGCTTTCATAACAGAAATAACAAAGGTTCTTGCTTTTGTTTAGAGATCTTGAAAGACCAAATAAATCCCTATCTATCCATCTATCTATCTATCTATAAAAGACTATGAGACCACACCGCGAGAATATAGATCATTGAAAAATAGATGACATTTTCTATCATTCATGCCATCTGATATTATTAATCTAAATTTATGATGATATAGCATGTAAGTTTTATTTTTTTATTTTTTTTCCGTATTGCATGACCAATGTGTCCTCATCTATACGCTTTACTAAATATAAATTATCTATTTAATTGCATGTCGAACTCATTTTAGTCAACTTTCCTCTTAAAAGATTCTACCTTGTTGATTAAAGAAACATCAATACAAATGCATGTCATTCAGCAATAGTTATTTCTTGGTTCATCGTCATGTCAAAGTTTCAATTCTTTGTGGACTTGTGTTCAGTTCTGCGCTATTACTTGTATTTGTAATTGATTTATTTCTTTTTTATTAGTTGGTGCTCGAGTTTTCCTTGATGGAAGACTATCATCAATGCAATAAATATTTACAGCTATAGTTTTCTTTACATGTTTTATACATGAATTTTTTTTCTATAATAGAAAACAATAGGGTCATTTACAAATATACCACTAAATTCCTACATATTTACATATCTAAGACCAAAACTAAGTTTTTTTACAATTATACCACCCAAATCTTTCATATCATATCAAAAATACCACTATTTTAATTATTAAAAAAGTGAAATACACATTTTCATGCATGGGAAAGCGAAGTATACATAAAGATTGAAGTTTAGGTTTAGAAATGTAAATAGATAAGCATTGAGTGGATGTATGTTAATCTTCCAAAACAATATTATTTGATCTTTCCTCTTGAAGCTTGTCCTATGTGTCGAGGTGTATCACATTTCAGAATCGAGGTACAATATTCAACATGGTAAATTAACAATAAGCGAAGCAAATCTAATATGCAACTAAAATCTAAGATAACAGGAGTTTTCAGGCGAGTTAGTGAGGAGGTGCTATTTGGTCTATTCATATCAAGGTCATGTAAGTTGATAAATCCTGTCTTTCTTGCTACTTGATAGAAACGAGTTGGGCATGCAAATTTCCCAAATCAAGCATGGTAAAAAGCTAGAAAATGAACTAAGTACAGACTACTTTCCTAGAAAAGCATAAAACATGAAAGTATTATGCAAATATTAGTAGTCAGTAGTTACCGCTTAGTATCACAACATATAATTTCCCCGGAGATTGTATCAAATCCCGTTGATGATATACTAAGAAGAAAAAAAAGGACAAGATTTCTTTTCACATTCAATTCAAAGAAAAGAAGTTGGACATAAACTCACCAAGAATCACCTGATCTCTGCTGAACCTCAACTTTTTTCCCAATTGCATCCTTGCCCAGCTTCTGCAAAATCCAATTTGCATCTCCTGCCTCATCTATTTGATTTTGGTTATGCTGTTTTGCAAGGCCCTCGCGTTGAAGAGAAGTACTTTTCTCCACAAAAGGTCTCTTTCGCTTCGATCTATGTCCTTTCACGCAGTGCTCTTCTTCTCCTTGAGAGGCCCAAGAACTCTTCTGCTCAAAATAGGGATTCTTGAATTTCAATTTGAGCAGTGGTTTGATTTCACTTTGCCCCCCTGAAATGGCTTTTGAGGGTAAAACGGCATTGTTCTTATACTCCGAATTAGGATGCACAATGCGTTTCGCTGGGACAGCTTCATCATTCCTTAGCCTTGCTTCATCGTCTGCTAATACCCCAGCACCCTTCTTCCCAACTATTGGACTTCTTAATGAAGTCCTTGGTACGCTGTCCGGAAAAATGTTACCGTTGCTTTTTCTATGCATATCAGAAACCTTTCCGAGCTTTATAATATTTTTTTGCTTGTCTCCATGTTTTGAAATACTCATTTTGTTAGTATTGTCTTGTCTGATCCCTGGGAATGAGCAGATAAAATGGATAAAATGAAAGTATGCAAGTGTTTGAGTCAGCCTATTATGAATCACCATATATAATGTAGAAGCTCAAAAGAATCTCATACAAGACGGTTATGTTGCTAGAAATATTCATATATGAGAAAAGTAAGCTCCTTTAGGCGAAACAAATTAAAATTTTAAACCTTCTTAAAACTGTGCAATATAAGTCGCGCTTTCAATGATTTTCATAAAATATCGCAAAGAATCATGTGCCTCTTTATCCCTGGATGAGATGTGTGGCTCACCCAGAATGAAAACCTCGCCTTAATTTTTTAGGATATCTATAGTTTTTTTAACAAAAGCTAAAAAATAATATCAATATACCTCATCTATCAATTCCCACACCTCACACACGAAACAACAAAAATAAATGTAAAACATATCCATAAAAAGTCTGTGCAGTTGAAATTCTAATTATCAAAATACACATTATTTTAAATTCTAATTGATATTTTTATTGATTATTTTCATTAGAAAAGAAGAAAATGATTGAAATTAAAGAAGTGAAGAATGTAAGAATATGGATATAAATTGACCGAATATGAGAGAAAGCAATATATTAAGTCCATGATTCTAGTGGAAATCCATTGGGTGACAAAAGTAATATAGACTTTTGAATTTAAAAATTCTAATGCTTTGTTATATTTTTTCTTAAATGAGAGGCAGTATGAGTGGCAGAGAAAAACTTATACTTAAATTATTTTAATTGTTATAATATGATATTTTAATATTTTATTTTGATATTTTAACTTACTTTGATAGTTTAATATTTGTATAACCCATCCTACTTCATGAATTGATATTTGGATGTTAACTTGTTACTACATAGCTTCCACAATTTGATACTTTTTACTTTGCAAGAATGTTGATATGTTATTTTCTAATATGTTAATATATTAGAACATTAGCATGTTACGTCTTACCTCACAACTAATATACTTATTGCTTAATGTAATTTTTTAAAATTTGAGGTTTAGGCTTATGCCTAGCCTCACAAATGAAAAACAACTCCATACCCAAATGCATCATTTTAAACCTTTCTTAAAAGAACAATTTTGAATTAATTGAAAATATGTACTAGTCATACCTTCTCCATCAACATTAAAACCTTCAACCTGAGACTGAGAAAAACCATTCTTGCTATTTTTCATCTGACCGTGGCTGTTATTTTCACTACCTGCACCCATTAAACATGGTAAATGAAGCAAATGCTACCAACAAAAAGATGAAAAGGGAATTACAAAACATACCATTATACTGAAGTATTATCCAATCAAACGAAAATCAAAAACATTAGTGCTAGGTTCCATTATATGAATGTTCATAATCGGCGAAAACTTTTGGGTTTTAAGCAAATAAAACAGGACGAACAATTAATCTTGTTAGAAATAGTTCATTGGCAAGAAACAAAAAGAATACACATTTTGATAAATAATTTCATTTTGTGATTTCCCCATCTAGTCAGATAAAATGACAAGATTAACCTTGGATAACATATCCAACTATCTTTGTCATATTGCATTCTCATGATACATTTTAAAGTATCATAACAAGCATATGACTGCAGTTAATTTCTAAATCCAATAACAGATTTTAGAAAATTTATTAGCTTAGGGATGAATATCCAGGTAAAGCTGGAATGAAAACAGATTATAAAGTGCACCTCCCTTATGGTAAGCCTAGTTGGTAGTATGAACCTGAAAGCAATAAGTGGATTCTATATGCTGTGTAGATTATAAACCAACAAAAATGAAAAACAATAAACATAATAGATAATATCATGAAGCTATAAAATCAAAACTACATAAAGCATTGCTTGTCAGGTGTTAAAAATATAAAATTAAGAAAGATTTGAGTTTGAATTCCAAGCAAGAAAATTTCCAGCTTCAAGGGATGTAAATATCAAAAACTACTGAATAATGGGATGACCTATTATACAAATCAATGACTCAAAAAATGCATAAAAATGTCGATTAAAACAATATTCTACCGTCATGAAATGATGCTAAGGTGCAGCTTTAGAAGGAGAACCTATATGAGTGAGATCAGATTAAACACAAAAATTAGCGAGCGACAGAGTCTAAAAGTACAGACTTTAACAGCTCTGTTGGCCAATGAAGATGAAGTAATTTAAAGCCAAACACACAAAAGAATAAAGGGAAATTTACATACGTAGCACACAATTCTTATACAATTCTTATGCAGCACACAATTCTTATGCATTTACATATCTCACATCTAAATTTTCATATTTACACACATAGCACTCAATTCTTTAATATCATATCAAAAACTGCACGATTACATCATTTTATAAGTCAAATATATCTTTTCATGCATAGATTTTGAGCATCAAAGTGCTATGTAGGTAAATATGAAAGCTTAGGTGTGAGATATGTAAATACATAAGAATTGGGTGCTGTGTACGTAAATTTCCAAGAATTAAAGCCACGCAAGAAGTTAATGTCCATACCATGGAGAAAAGATAAATCTTGTTCTCTCTGACAACTAGAACTTTCAGACATAGGAGAGCTTGTAACATTTCGATTTCTTCCACCAATATGTATGACCAACTTGGTTCCTTTTACGGTCTCCGCCTTGTTTGCATTTTTACCCCCACATTCCTTAAAATGACTATCCGATAGCTGTTTCTTTTGGATCTTGATCACCCTATCTGAAGGATCACCAATAACTTCATTCCCACATGTGTGATTGTTCTCCATCTTAGCATCTCCAGCAATTCCAGCACTCGGTGATGAAAAACTTTCTGGTCCATCAGCTCCGCATGATTTGAGATTATCGTGAACTGAGTCATTCATCTTTACTTCTGAATTTTGAGACAGACGATCCGCTTTACTAACAAATTTTATCTGCAATTCTTTCTTTTTAATGAACTTTTTATTAGAAGGCAAATTCTTAGAACTATTCTTCCCGGAGTCTTTACAAGACTTGGCTGATTTATCACTCAAGCCTTTAACAGAAAATTTCAAAAATCTTCCATGAACATTTCTATGTACTGCTGGACCATCCGATTCATCATCAGAATAGGGTAAAGTGGAGAATATTAAGTCTTCAGGCAAACCAGCAGCAGCTCTCAAACTTGTAATAAGATTACGATCTGCTTCATCTCTCCTATTCCAAAGCTCTCTAACAGCATCATCTATATCTTTAACCTAATGTAATGAAAATGATGCGTGTGAAACTCATAACATGATAAAAATGTAGAAGAGAAATTTTTTGAAGCATAAAAGTTACCTGGTAACAATCGCCACGGCATGCAGCGCAAACATATTGCAGATTCTGGTCAGTCTGAAACTGCTGATATTTTTCATCACTGTGAAAAAATAAAAATAAAAGAAGTTTTCTTAAAGCGGTGACAAGATAACGACTACAATACTATATAAAACTCAAATAACAGAATAATGATTTTCTTCTTTTATTCTCTTTAGCAACAAATGAGATCACGGTTTAGCATGTCTACATGCCTTCTATTAGAGAGATGGCTTGATAGACAAACTGTTTAAGGGCAAACAATTTAGTCAAACAATGCCAATATTTCATAAAGATTAAGATGTGAGAATTTTTGCAAAATTCTGTTCCTATTTAAAATTTTGATTTCTGACCAGCTTATCCATTGGAAACCAAATAATCAAATTCTTATAACTCTTCCTGATTTTGATATGGATATGCACAAACCCACGTCCAACATGTCCTTGACTATGGCATCATTCCCAAGCTTAATTAATTTACAAAGGATTACATAAGCCCCTGGAGTATTAAATCAAAACATTATATGACGAGATTATGAGAGAACAATGATAGCATATAAAAGTTAATGACATGAACCTGATGCCATCACAGACAATATGCACCCATCGCTCGCATATGTCGCAACAAACCATAGGCGTTGTTTCCGAATCTCTATAAACCTACAGAAACAAAGCACACAATATAGTCATTCCACATAATTAAAAAAAATTATAAACTAAAAAATAACAAAAAATTTCATAAGCAGCAAGAGAGAACCAATCAAATTCAGACAAATCAATTAATTCAAATAAAAACCAAAATAGCAATAAGAAAGGAAGGCATCATCTTTTATCAAATTATTGTCAGTCCGGAGTTTAGAGTGGAAATTTGACCCATAACACAAAGACCCGGCAAGAAGCGCTGATGCACATTAGCACTCGATGTATGCCTTCCTTTCTTATTCATACATCAAGCTTAACAAAAGGACCCACAAAAAAATAAAAAAATAAAAATGGCAATGGTAATCTCACCATACATTAAAAGCACTCGATGTATGACAATCTCACAAAAATAACTTATGTATCCAAGGTAGAAATAACAGACAAAAGTAAATAGGCGATTGTTGGCCTCACTTTTGACCAGCTTTGACCACTGACCAAAGTTTAAATTGAGTCAGCCAAGATGACCACATGGGCCGAACTGATCTAGGTAGATTCAACCTTAAATTAGAGTGATCTAGTAATTCGAAGGCCCAGCAAAGGAACCATGTAGGAAATCAAGATCCCAACGGAACCCCCTTGACCCGAGACAAATTTATTGAGTTCAATTGTATATTTGTATCAAGATTTCTCATATCCCCAATTGGATTCAAAGCAGCTCACTTGACCAAATGAAACCCTAAGGAATCTATTTGTTTAACTTTACCCAGAAAGACCCAATTGGGGCCCCTTTGAACCAATGCATATTAAGTCAACTATCCTAGTTTAATTGAATCCGAAAATCTCCCCTGGACCCCACTTGAGACACAATTGGACCCAAGTGAGGCCAATTAACCTTAAGCGGAACTAACTTAACCTTAGGACCCTACCTAAATCAATTAACCATCCCTAGACCAACCTAAGTGGTTAGACCCAACCTATACCTAGGTTGACGCATGATCCAATTGGGTACTATGGAGCCAATTGAAAACAACTGAGGTTGATTAGCCTCATGAGCCATCCACACTCAAACCCTTATGAAACAAATAGGCAACCCAATCTAAACCCGTTCACATTGGGCTAGCCCAGACCTAACCCAATTGGACCCAAAGTGAAAAGCAATCTAATCTAGTAAACCTAGACCTAAACCCAACCACCCAAATCCAACAACCCTAGCCACCGATATACCCAATCCTAGACAAGGGCCATCAGTCCATGGCCAATCTACCTAACCATGATCCTTACCTTAAGATATAGCTCCCCATTCTTGCTAGCCATTCCTTGCACTACAAAGGACATTGCTTGGACACCCTCAATCATCCCTACACAGAGAAGGGGGGGAAAGGCTTCCAAACCATAAAAGAGGACCACACACACATGTTCAATCCAGAGCTACTTGGTATTTCAGTCACTTCCTTGGCATTCTACATCCACTCTAAAACTCTTAAAACTAGCTCATCGCCTCTAAATCACTGCCTGATCAACCCGGAATTGGAGCTCACTAGAATTTGGTCAACCCAGCACTTAAGACCACACTAGAAGAAACTAAAACTACCTAAGTCTTGCATGTGAAAAAAAAAATGATTTTCTAATTTTTGGATGAGTAGGATATTAGTCATGAATTTCCAAATATCTATGTTTTTCTTTTGCTTCCTTAAGGGTTTACACAATTTCTAAAGTCAGAGTGGGCCTTGTAGATGTGACATGATCTCATTGGCCAACGGTGGCATTGTGGCTCCTTTAACTTCAAAAAATGAATAATGGGGATAAACTAAAGTCATTCAATCTCAAATTGGGTAAGATTAAAAACCTAGGAAAATCATGAATGTTTAACTGAGATCAATAACAACAGAGTAGACCCACACTCAGGGGTTGTTAATGTCAGAGTTTCCTGCAGTTAAAGTTTTGTCCAACCTCTGTGAAGACTCAGAAAAATATGAGGCATCCATTGCATCATCAACATCATTAACTTCATCACATATATCACATTCTACATGATCATAAATTTATTCTTCTTGCAAATCATGCTTAGTGAACACCAAGTGGAGACATTGTCTTCGGTGAAAGAAGTGACATGGAGGCATTGGAGCCAAAAGCTCCTAACTTAAATTTTTATGCTAATAGATACAAGAGTTTCATTGATTGATTGTCATGACTAATTACTTCTAGTTGAAGTAATCAACTCCCTTAAATGTTGAGGATGAAGATACTGCTCAAGCTAAGGAGCTCATTAGAATGCATCCTCAAGAGTTGTAAACATCTTGAGTCAAATTTTGTTAATAGATGATAGGACAGAGTAAAACAAAATCTTGCAATGGTGACTTAAGATAGACTATGATGTCACACCAAATAATTAACTCATTAAAATGAATTATACAATCAATGAAAAAATTTGCATTCTAACGGTGGTCAATTCCATTAAAAGTTTGTCATGAAATGCTAAAGAAAGGTTATTATATTTAAGGAAAGCTTTAGTTTAACAAAAGGACCAAATGATGGTTGCCGAAACAAGTTCCATTCAAAGAAATATCGCCTAATGATACTCTATGCAGGTGTCGAAACAAAATAAAGATGTAAGTTAATGATCTAATTTGAAAAGATTTTTTAATCAATATATCAATCAAAAGTAGGTGGATATATTTTTACCCTTCTGGTTATGTTATCAACACTGATAAAATTGATCATAACCCCAATAAAGCACCTCCAATTAAATAAGATATTGTTCTTGTCGGAATAGTTGGTGAAAAAAATCCATCATGGATGCCAAAAAAATTTGTTGGCCCCTTCCGAGATAGCCATTCATAAGGGGGAAAACTTTTTAATTTTCTTATAGTCAAGCTAGCGGAGGATTTAGAATTTCTTCCCTTCTTTCAAGTGAACTAGTTAGTTTGGACCAAGCTATGGGATGTAGGGCCTATACTGTCGGATATTTCTATTTTCAAATGCTTGGATCCTAGCATGCAATTCAAGGATGTATAAGTGTATCTTCAAATTGATAATTTTACAATGATGATTAGAAAGTCGATCCTAAAAAAATGTCCATCATGATTGTCATTGTGAAAATTTTTTAATAAACTTGCTTTAATACCAAGTTGTTACTAGACAATTTAAGGTTTTTTAAATGTGATGGTGGAAAAGGACCTATGTTAGTTCTGCTAAAAGCTAAAATCAGGATCTTTAGAAGAACCGCAAATAGATAGTAATTAGAAAGATCATCAATCACATAAGTCAAACGTTTTCAACCATTCAACTCATTATGCGTTCAGATATTATCACTCACTGTACCACCCTATTACTTGTAACTCACTCCAAATTCAAGTATCATTGTTATTCTATTTTGCACTACCATATAAAAATCAGAACTGATTTCATATGCAATATATCCAATATCAATTTAAGCCAGTCAGCGGACAAACATTTTATTCGAGTATAGTTAATTCATTTAATATGCAAAAAAGCAGAGTAATTCAAAAGTTTCATAAGGATGAGACCAACCTTCAAACAAACTGGACAATAGTTTCCTTTTACAAACAATCGTCCGCAAGCATCACAGCAAGTATATCCTAAAAACCACCTGCCCATAAGTTACAAATTTTAGAACTTGAGTAACGAATTTAATGCATGGTGTGCATGATAAACAAGCTCGAGAAGTGTCAAAATAATCCCGACTTTCCGCAAGAGATTAATTTTAATCCTAAAGTTTATAAAAATGTCCAGTCCCTAAACTATTTTAATATGGGCTGACATAATCCCAAAAGAAGATTATTTCGGCCACAATTTGACGAATCTAGGGATTATTTGACACTTTTAGAGACTTTGGGACTAAAATGACCTCATGTAAACAGTTAGAGGACTATTTTGACACAAAAAAATAAAGAAACAACATGCAACAAAATAAAGTTATTGATCTTCCAAATTACAATAATAATAATAATAACCTTGTGCTAGGACCACTTCCAGGAACTGTTGACCCACAACTATGACATCTCGTGTGCTTGGAGCACAGGTAAGGTCCATGATTGACGTTCTACAAACAAAAATGGTTATGAGAATTGAATATAATTCATAATAAATTTATAAATTAGAGAGTAATAAGTCATTTAAATGATATACTTTGTGTGGGGGCTGCTGGCAATAGCAATGGTAGGCACCATCACATCTTTTACAATACATCAACTTGTTGGGATCTCCAGCCCTTCGACATATCTATAACACATAAGACTACATGATAAGATCATCGGATGAGTATTGGAGCACTGCTATCCATGAACAATTAGAGCTTACCCATTTTCAGATTTTGCTTAATGAGGAACTAATAAAATTCCTCCTCTCATTACCCTCAGCAAAATAAATAAAACTTGTACCATGATGGCTAAGATTTTCTTAATGATAAAGAATAATAAATATAGAAATCTGGTTATATCTAAGAAGAATTAAAGCAAGTTACATATAAGATAACTCATTCATATTTTAGCAGTTAATATACAAAAGAACTCAGGCAAGCTAATATATCATACTTGGAAAATAAATAGTTTTTCCTAACAGAACTGACAAAAAAACTGTTTTTGTGTTATGTGAAGTGAAAGAGCATTTTCTGCGTATTTTGATTTAAGGATCAAGATTTTGGAAATATATATGATGTCAATTTCATGGAAAGATAAAAGTGTAACGCAATACATGCTATTATATAGTCAAATTAAAATACGAAAGTAGTGGAACATGTAGGATTTGAAGCCCTTAACAGTCCAAACCACCTTCAGGCCTCTTGCCCTCTAAAGGCTAATATAATGTACTCATAAGCTATTGGTTGACACCTCAACCATAGGAGTGATGAGAAAGAGAAGAATAGAATACATGCTTGCCGCCTTCTAGTTCGTGCTCATGTGAGTCGCAAGGTCAATGTACCCTCACTGAAGCATGCAACCTTAGATAACTACAGAAACTAAAAGCAATGCAACTTGGAATTGTGGAATAAGAAGTGGAATTCTTGAAATAAGAAACATGAATAAAAAAAATGCCCTAGATTAATAAAATAATGTATAATATATTATTATTAAAAATAATTAAATAGTTACATTTACCTAAACGTCTTATATTCATTTAACTAATTTTAAGTAAATAATATACGAGCATGCTTAATATCAAGCCTTTAGCAAGCTGCTGAAGAACAAACAAGCTAATTTGTAAGCATAAATAAATGGGTTGAAATATATTCAAAATTTATTCATTTAGCCTTTGAGTTTTGAAAAAGAGTTCAAACTTTTTAAATACTAAATTGAACAAGTAGTAATTAAGTCAACTTTGAGTTGTTCCTTGAGTGCATTGGTTCACACACTTTAGATTTCCAAGTGTGTTGGTTGTCTTAAAGCCAAATAGATTTAGTGAACCCTATGTGTTGCAGATTAGAATGCCATTTACTATGTGATGAACTCAATAACCATACTGGTGGTAGCTCATGAAAGAAAGAATAATATTTAGTATATGATGCTAAGTATTAAAAAAGTAAAAACTATTGTAAAATTTATTAATAATGATTCTTGAAGAATGGTGCAAAATAAAATTTCTATTATATGGAAGCTTTTAAAATATAAATAAGCAATGCAGGCTACGTGAAAATATAGAATAAATAACACCATAATAAGGAGCAGTTTGACAATTTTATAGTTGATGGGCCAAGGTATTGCAAAGATGTTGTATAAAGAAGTGCTCATGCACAACCATAAAAAAAGAATTTTAGAAATTTAGACAACGAGAGAGATTTTTAGATGTGGAGTCTAATTTTCTTTACAATGTCATTGAAAAGAATTAGTGCTAGAATTCAATATTGATGGATACCAAAAAGATTAATTCATACTTAATTTTTTAGATTGATAGCTGCCAACTCAAGGTTCATTAACACTTATTTTCGACGGCGATACCTAAAACAAGTTATATACATACTTCATTTTTCAAACCTGTCTGCACATGATGGGATTTTAAAAGATGATAAAATAAAAGGTTTCATGCATCCGTAACAAGGAGCAACAAGAAGAGAGGAATAAGATTAGGAAGACAAAGAAACATCATACGAGAAAGAAAGAAAATGATTTTTTTTTTTTGGTTCTTTCAGGAAAGCTTTTTAACTTTTTTTAGAAGAAATATGTGTTACTTTTTTTTTTTTTCCTAGCAAAAAACGACACTCTTAGACAAAGCCAAGCACAATTCTCATTTGAACTTCTACAATAAAAAAATGAAAGAGAGTAATTAAAGCAACAATATCTCCTTCTCCATTTCTAACCCTCATATTCGTAACAGGTCACTGATCTCAGCTAAACAAAGTAATTCTGTTGTGTATATTTTAAATTCTATATGAAGGTGCAATCTTTCATGTATCATTTTCATAAATATAGTGAAATTCAATCGATGTGTGTCCATAGACATAAGCCAAGCCCCATAAATATTGATGTTCGTTTGTAGTGCTTGATTCTTTTACAATTACTCTACTGTCCATCCTTCTTGATTTAAGCGCTCTTCTTACTGACATATACCACTTTACCATCTTAGCATTTTAATTGTTGCCACATTCAACATGAAATTCAATTAGTTCTTAGCTATCAAGCACTCAAATTCATGCATAAAAACAAATATTATAGTAGTTGTATACTACTTAACTTCTAGTTTATTTGATAGCATTTTATTGTTTAAATGCTCCAAAGGCATTCATCCATTTTAAGTTTTTAATCGCTCCATTATACTCTAAAATTTACACCCTCATCTATATCCCTATTCATATGCATTCTAAATCTAATATGATAAGGGTCTATTTGGGGCAGTTGTAGCTTATTAATAAGCTGTTGTGCAGCAGTTGTTCCGCAGAAGCTGTTGCAGATAAACTGGGTGGTTATTTGTTTATTTATGTTTGAAAAAAACTGCAGCATAGCTGTTTCTGGACAATTGACCATTTTATCTATATAGTAATGTTGTTTACAACAGAATTATCATAGCAAAATATTTGATACTTTAGAAACAAAAATCCACTTCAAAACAGTGCAAAAAATAAGATGTAAAACTCACTTAACAGTATCATCATGACTAAAATAAAGAAAAAGACTATCAAAATAATATTTAAAAATATGATAATATTATTAAATGTATCAAATAGCCCTCTACAACCACAATCCACACACAACCACAGTCACCACAACCACGGCCCATACACAACCATAGCTACCACAACCGCCTCCACACAGATTCACACCTCCACACACAACCTAAACCCACGCAGAGCCACACCTCCACACACAACCACAACCCACACAGAACCAACACAACCACAACACAACCACAGCCCCCACACAGAACCAACACAATTACACAACCACAACCCACAATCACAGCCACCACAACACAACCACAACCACAGTCACAACCACCATAATCACCTCCACACACAAGCACAGCCACCACAACCACCTTCACACACAACCACAACCCACACAGAACCAACAAAACCACACAACCACAATCCACAATTATAGCCATCACAACACAACCACAGCCACCGCCACACAGAACCATAGCCTCCGCACACAACCGCAACCACCACAACCACCTCTACACACAACCACAGCCACCACAACCATCTCCACACAGAACTACACCTCCATACACAACCACAGTAACCACAACAACAGCTCACACAGAACCAACACAACAAACAATCACATCTCCACACACAAACATAACCACAGCCACACCACACACACAACCACAGCAATCATTACTAGCAATCCACCATTAGGATCAACCGCCAGCAATCCATCGACATTAATAAAGGTCATCACCCATCAGCACAGTAACACACACCCCCACAATAACCACCCTAGCACAGTAACCACCCAATTCAAAGTAAAGGTCATCACCTCATCAGCAATAAAGAAAATCCAACACCAATGCAAAATCGCATGAATTGCAAAAACCAAAATCGTAGAAATTGCAAAAACCAAAATCGTAGAAATTGCAAAATATACAAGAATCATCGAACGAATAAAGCTCAGAGCATATAAAACCATCGCAAAAACAAAATGTCATAGAATACAGTGGTAGAGAATATTGTGGGTCCAGGGAGAGCAAAGGAACCAAGCAAAGCCGAAGAGTAAAAGGGGATAGGGAGAAAATAGTAACCATCAAGCCTTGCCAACAGAATCACGGATCTAAGAGGAGAAGGCGAGCGGAGATCTTACCTTTAGGGAAGAATCGCGAGACAGGGGAGAGTGGGTTCCGAGAGAGGGAAGGGAGTGGCAGTAAAAACCGAGCGAGAAATTAATACGAAACGCTGATAGCTGGGTCAAACTCGCAACCCGCGTTTTATTGAAATGTTATCAAAAAGCTGTCGCACCGCAGCTATGAAAAGGAAAAAAACTGCATTTTTTTGAGTTGCGACATGCGAAAAACGCAGTGTCAAACGAGCCCGAATACCTACCTAATTTAGACAACACTTAATCTCCCATCATTATTGGCTAAAAAATTACAAATCTCACATTCAAATACTCTTACTTTTAACGATTCATTAAAAGATCAGTCAAAGCTCAAATTCCAAGATCAGAGAGAATTCATCATAAATTTCCCAAGCATTAATTATGGCCAAGTTCACCAAGAGATTGAATTCAAATAAAGGCCTACCTACATTCAAGTTTAAAGTTTTTGAGACAATTAAAATTTTAGCAAGACAACCTCAATATTGAGCACATCACAAACATGTATGCGTGAGAAAATAATAACATGATATGGGAAATCATGTATAAATTTCGAGTTGAATTGATTTACATTTTAGCTGGTTTAAAAAATTAAAAATCAATTCTTGTCAATTAAAAGTGAACAATTCTTAAACAATTTGGAAGTTTCAAATACCATTGATATCCCTAATTGCAGTCTCCAAGATGGGCTTCTCTATCAATACAATTATCAAACAACTTCAATGTAAAGACAATAAATTAAAACAACAAGAAAAATGAGTTAGTAATAAATCTAAATTATCCAGGATATTAGTGTCTTCTCAATGAAAGCATGCATTTCAAACAATTAAGCGAGATACAAGTGCACAGAAAATTCAAACCCCACACATTTAAGACACAACAAAACCTTAAAAATCAGAACTGAACACAGCAGGAAGACTAAGCTATAAAAAATAGTACAATCTGCTGTCCGCAGATAAAAACTTCTCTTAAAGCAGCTTTTGACATAACTTTCCAAAAGGTGCAGCCAAGCTACTTGGGAGTCTGAAGGTGGGGCATCTTCGGAAAGAAAAAGGCTTAAACCATTTTAAAAGCTTTTACCCCCCACCCCCAAAACACCACAAGAGAACACAAAGATATTCAAAATTTTAATTTGAACCAATCTACCTTTTTAAGGAAATGAACTAAGATGCATCATTGCTGTTCCACTTGAAGAAAAACTCAATGTTACCATAAACAACAAGTGAACTAACCTCACAGATGCGGCAAGAGGCGCAAACCCATGAACTCCAGTGAAACAAATCTGCAAAAAAAGTATTTTCTTATATATAAAAAAGCAAAAAAGCAATCTTTTTTAATCAAATGGCATAAAGCTAGCAGAAACCTCTATATTCCGCCCAACTTCTCAAGCAGCGCCTATGATACTTTTTGTTACAAGACTGACATGAGAGCATCTTCAAAGCCCTATCACTGCCTTCATTTTCCCCGGAGAAACACAAGCGGCACATGACCTTGACAGTAGAACCTTGCTCATCTCTGGCAGGGTCAATCGTCTGTTCACCGGGTATTGGTTCGGGAGAATCCTGATAGATTACAAATATGGAATCAATTTTCAATTTAAGGATTACTAATAGCACGCCTATATAATTGAGTAGAAAGAATATGATTAAATGTTTAAGAAGTAAGATCATGTTTGCAAATACCAGCACAGATGTTTTCAATCCATGAACTAGAAAGAAAAAAAAATGAGAAATTTAAATGCATGTCAAACAATTCTTATGTATTTACATATTTAACATCTAAAATCTGATATTTACATTATAATACTTCTGTGCTATAAATTTATGCATGAAAATGTTAATTTCACTTTTAAAAACTCAGCAATAGTGGTATTGTTTGATGTGATGTCCAAAATTTGAGTGCTTGACATGTAAATATGAAAGCTTAGGCGTTAGATATGTAAATAACTCAATATATAAGAATTGTGTGGTATGTCCATATATCCCCCAAAAAAGTAATGATAAGTGTGTGCAATGTAGTATTGTGCATTACTGTTTTCACAGAAAGTAACCATACAAATCATCAAAACAAGCACTCAGAGTTGTAAATTTCAATTTAGTTACTACCCACCACTTCTCAAAATTTATATTTCCTTGTAGTTATTATAATACATCCTGTGTTTCACATTCTTTAAAATCACGCAGAATTTCTTTTGCAAATAACAAACTGAGAATTGCATGAAAGAACTTCCATACAAGCAACCACTGAATAGCATTGGCCCGTCAAGAAAGCAGCCACCTAAAAGCATATAAGATGAACAAGAAACAAGTCAACCGGCCAAAAACTGCCAATTTCTTCTGTTTTCAATTGTTTAAGAAACAATCCAACCTCTTTCAACTGCTTAATAAGCTCATCGCAACTAGGAACTCCATGATTCCCTGTAATTACTTCTATGCAGAAGTTAAACTCCCGCCTTTTCATCATAGCTAAAACATCCACAAAATGAAAATCAAAATGCCAACAAACTCCCAGAATCGGAGCCCTGCAGAACAACATACCAGTACGTCTTTCCATCCCCACATCCAAGAAACAGAAACAAATCACCATCATTCCATCCAAATTCTCAACAAATCAACCAAATGAAACACCACAAATTCACCAATCTATAAAATAATCAAAGCTCACCGCAGCACCGATGACCTCCATCTTCCTCACATAGTTCTCAGCAGCAACCGAAGCCGCCACAGCCTGCCGCTGCAACGCCATACGCCTGACATGCGCTGACGCAGAGTACGCGTCCTCCCCATCTCCGCCACCATAAGCCGCTGCAGCCGGAACAGGATCCACCTTCGGCACCAATACCTGAACCGCCGCCGCGTCCCCTACACTCCCAGCCCTCACCAGCCATGGATCCCGCAAAAACTCCTCCAACACCCCGATCTCCTCCACAAACACCCGCCTTTCCTTCTCGCTCCGCAGCCCTCGCCCGAACCCCAGCTCGCAGTAGCATATCCGCCGGCTGCGAATGAGAAAACAGTCAGTTAGAGAGAGAGAGAGAGAGCGGGAGATAGAAAGAGAGCGTGGGATAAGATAGGCGAACCAAGTGATCGGGCAGGAGATGTGAAAAGCCATCGGATTCGATGGGCCGGAGGGGTTTTTTTAGCGGGGATTTGCCCCGGAAGGATCGATTTGAAAATAATGGCGGAAAATAAAAGAAAAAATATCGGGAAATAAGCTAGGGATTAGGATTATTGGGGGAAAACTTCGGTCTCCCCGGAGATAGGAAGAGAGAGAATGATGGCCAGCGGTGGCGGCGGATGGGTGACCCGGGACTGTATTATACTAAAAAACGATATCAAGATCAATACGAATCTCCAAGCAACGGAAGAATGGATCCTAGCCGTTTGATTCTCTGGTTTGTCCTTTGGTCAAGGTGGGAGTATTTAATCTATGGTTATAAATATTTATAGGAATTTTTTATACTTGCTTGGCATTTTCTTTTTAATTGTATCATATCTAATTTTTTATTAAATTGGGATAATTATGCAATAGCACCCGCAACATTGATCTTTACAAAACCTGGCAGTCTGTAACTTTTAAGTAATGATTTGATGTATTTACGTGTGTTATGATTAAATCATTGAGAATTTGATAAAAATAAAAAATATTGAACAATTGATGGTGGTTGAGGTTTTAATTGAGCTGATCGGTTTGAGCATGTCGTAGAATAAACTTCAATTGGTCAAATCATAAGTTGTTTGTGTTCAATTCAAGTTTGATTTTAGGTTTTACATGTATGTTCATACTTGAATTGCTTTATTTTTCTTAGGGTTATTTCTGATTTGTACTTAGCTTGTTTATATTAATTGAAGGAGTTAGAAAATTAAATGAGTGCATGTTTTATATATATAATTAATTTATTCTTTATTTTGTAATTGTTTTTTTATTTAAAACTAATAAATAATTATAATTTTTAATTAGTAATTAATTTTTTTATATAAAATTGTTAAGACATGATTTTAAAATTTTAAATAAATAAATAATTGAATAAATTTTAAAATAATTTCTATTAAGTAAATGTAAGAATATAAAAGTTGTAGTAATATTTTTCTGTGGTCGAATAATATAAATAATTAATGATAAATTAGTTCATTAAAAATAAAAATAAAAATAAAATATATTAAATTTGTTACACCTTGATAGTGGTAATAAATTAATCCTTTTAAATTTTTAAAAATATATTACTTTTTTATTAAAAATTTTAATAAAAAAATTTTATTTTTCATCTCCTTATGATGGGGGCACCACAGCTCAACAAAAGCTTGACGAGAGGAAGATGAAGCTGTGGGTTGAAGTCGCTGATGATAATAAGATAATGCATGGTGAAGTCAATCACCAGTATAAATTGTGCTCTAGGTTGACTGCAAGAGTGAGAGTTAATTGATAAATATATGATAGGGGTTAATAATAAAAAGTAAATGATATTTTGTTTCATATTATTGTACACCCAAAAATTGCTTGCACATATCTCAAGACAAGCTAACAATTTAGATCAAAAGCTGTGAATCATAAAGCCAACTGGCAACGAAGGTCTACCTAGTTGACTCAAAACATACAATCTCTGAAGTCCGAATAATGGTATAGTAATACCCCCGACAATCTCACAGATATCAACATAAGGCTCTCTCAGCAACTCTCTCCAAAGTCTCCAAAGATAACTAGAAAACATCAAGTCAAGCAAGTTAATTGGACACTCTAAGGTTGATCGGCTACCACTCTCGAAGCCGACTGACTTCCCATAATGAATGTTGATCAATATATAGATAAAATATCCGACTGACATTAGCTTGGTCAACCAACTCCTAACCAGAATGCATGGTTCATAAAAAAAAACATTATAATCAGTTAGAAATATGAAAATACACAACAAAAGATAATAATGTCATATAATCCCATTTTTTTCACTTTATGACCCCACTTGTTAGTTGGAGCCTGATTTCGCTTCTGCCTCCTGCTCCCGATTGTGAAACATCGTGACCCTAGCTCCCGCTCCCGCCTCTTCCTTCGTTGCAAACTCTTCCCGCCTACGCTCATTCCCGCCTTCTCTGTTTCGCAAAGCGAAGCATTTCTTAGCCTGTTATACGTCGTGAACAGGCAGCAGTTCTGCGCGGTGCGTTTGGTTCGAGCGAGAGGAGTATCGCTCTTCATGGCTTTTTCTTCGGCGGCCGTTGGCTCGCGGCAGAAGGAAGAAGAAGAAATGTATTGCACGCCTCTCCTTCAGATTAAGTACGGCTTTTTTTGTATTCTTCTTCGGGCTTCCTCGGGATAGAGGAAGAGAAGTGCAAGCAGTAGTTTCTTGCAGCAGAAGGAAGAATAAAATTGTTCTCTCTTGACTTCTTCTTAGTGGCTTATGGCAGAAGAGAAATTGGGTTTATTACTCTTGTAAGTTTATCTTCTTCGGTTTTTCTCGGTATATAGAGAGAAGAAGAGAAAACAACAAAGTAAGAGGTCTCTCTTGTAAGACAAGACGATCAACTGGTGTAAATTACTCAAATAGTAAAATCCTCTGCAACTCCTTGGACGTAGGCAATTTGCTGAACCACGTAAATTTGCGTGTTTCGCTGTGTTACTATTTTCTTGTGTGAATTTTTTCGTTCTATTTTTTGCTTCGTCAAAGATCGTTCTCCTATTTTATTTTATAAACCAAAACAACCGGTATCAGAGCTTTGTTCGGATCTGAGAAAAGACGATGGTTGCAGATGAAGTGAGGGTTTCAAGGATCGAGAAATTTGATGACACTAATTTTGGTTATTGGAGGATGCATATAGAGGAATACCTCTATGAGAAGAAACTTCATCTTCCATTTTTGGGGAAAAGATCTGAAAGGATGGATGAGGTTTAATGGATTTTGTTGAACAACAAGTTCTGGGGGTTATTCGATTAACCCTATCGAGTTTTGTTACACATATCGTCATCAAGGAAAGGACGACTGAAGATCTCATGGCAGCCTTATCAGGTATGTATGAAAAGTCATCGGCGAATAACAAGGTGTACTTAATAAAGAAGTTATTCAATTTGAAGATGGTAGAATGTGTTTCTGTTATTCAACACATTAAAGATTTCAAACCTATCACAAATTAATTATTGTCAGTTACAATTGATTTTGATGAAGAGATACATGCGTTGATATTGTTGGCATCATTGTGAAATAGTTGGGAAGTCATGAGGAAGACAGTTAGCAGTTATGCAAGTAAATCTAAACTGAAATGTGATGATATTCGTGATTTGATTTTGGCTAAGGAGGTGCGCAATAAAGATGCTGGCGAGATCTCAGGTACGAGTTCAGCACTGAATATTGATTTCATAGAGAGATGACAGGACAAGAACCCAAATAAAGGGAGATCAAAATCAAAATCTGGTTAGCAGGCAACCTGTTGGAATTGTGGCAAGGTTTGTCACATAAGGAGGAACTGCAGGAATCCCAAAAAAATGGAGAATGATAGCACAAATGTGGTATCTGAAGAAGTATAATATGCACTATTGCTGGCAGTTCATAGTTTTGTTGATGATGGAAGTGAATAGAAGAGTGGGTCTGGGACACTCATTCCTATTGTTCCACATATAGATGATGAAGACTCATAGAGCTATGAAGAAATCTTGCAAGATGAAAGTTCGAGCAAATAAGAGCTGACGGAACTTCCACCAAGGAAGAAAGCATCACACAACAAGTTGGTGTACCAAGTAAAGACTGAGCTTGATGACAATAAGAGGTACAAGACTAGACTTGTTGAAAAAGGCTTTCTGCAGAGGCTGAATATTGCTCATGTTGTGGGAGTTGTAAGCAGAGACAAGAGTAACCCAGAAAATAGCTTAGAGGTGCAAAGCTATGTTGACCCTGCTGATATGGTGATTGAGGGTGTTACTCTTGAGAAATTGAAGTTATGTACAACTTAAGTTGGTCTTTTGGTGTGAAGACAGGGGATTTAAGTTGCAGGGGTGGAAGATTTACGTTTGAAGAAAAAAAGGTGACGCCACCAGTAGAAGATATCAGTTCGAGGAAGAATACATTGTAGCATGTGTATCGGTCTGAGCCCAATTTTTTTAATTAGTCAAAAAATGGCAAAATAAGGGATAAAGGAGATCCCTATCATTTCAACCTATTAGGAGGTGCACCGGGGTCAAATAAGCGTCAAAATCATGAAAAATCACATCCTGGAAGTGGACTGGCGCTTAGGCACCGTGACCCTGGCTCCTACTTTCTCATCTCTAGGGAAAATGACATTTTTAGCGGTTTTGGGTGTATAGGCGCCTGGGACTGGGACCCATGTTCCTTGTATGGCACCTAGGCACTAAAAACTGTCACCAGACTGCCAAGGGCTTGTTTTTGACCATCTAGGAAGGCATTTTGGGTGCATAGTCACAAATTCAACCCAGAAAATCATGTTTACACTAGGAGAGCACGACGAAGCAATTCTCAATCAGAAAGCTATGGAAGATCACATATGAGTAAAATATGATCCCCTAACCTCAAGAAAGAGTTTTTTTCTCGTCCTCTAATTAGAGAACATATTGTCAGGGGCACTCTAGACTGTCGCGCGGGTAAGGTGTTTCAAAGCCTAATTTTTTGGTAGCACGTGTAGGAGGGCTCCGCGACTTCCCTTGACCCCAAGGAAGCTAAAATTGGATATGAGAGACCTCTAAACACCAGAATGCACGTCAGCCTGATGTCCTGGGTGAGTCAATCCAATAACAAATTTTCTCGGGTAAGCCTGAATCTTCTCGATTTCATGTCCTAAACATGTACAAGGAAGTCTCAACACCCATCACCTCAATCGGGTAGCTATAAAAGCCGAAGGTATCTTGATTAAAGTGACAATTGATCAATGACTCAATAGTTTGACTGATACATCAAAATAATATATTATTTTAAGTATCTATTTTATGCTTATTTTTTGTGATATTGCACTTTAAATAAGGGTATTTTTTATTTTTATTGCATGTATTTCTTTTTTAGGCATTTGAAGCAAAAAAGTTCCAATTTTGGGTTCTGATGCATCTGTTGACCTCACTTTTGGTTGAGGTCTAGAAAACTTCTTTAGTAGCCTAGGTCTAGCCATAGGACTTTCCTATTGACTAGTCTTAGAAAATTAGAAGAGGTACCCCACCATTAGAAATTCAAAACTCTTCTTTTTACTCAGCTTGAAATTCCACATATTGATCTTAACCTCTAGCATTTAGTAGGTAAGATCATTATAAGAGAATTCAAGAAGAATCCCTA